TGTTGCTGTGTTGTGGTCTCGTTAAAAAATTTGCCCTCAGGAGCTACGAAATGGGTAAGTAAGACCACGAAATTTACTCAAAGAACTGTGGAAGTTGCATTCGGACTGAGCTTGTTTAATTTTGGATCAACGAAACACCAAACAAAGCACAAACAACTGGCTATCACCATGAAACGTTGGTCATCTTAATAATTTCTTAGCCGGCATAAAAAAAAAAGTCAACCTGTGGGGTCTGTTTTAAAAGAATGAAGAGCAAATATCGAAAAATATCAAACTAGAAGTTCGGTTATTTGTCTCCTGGAGGTACGTTTCACATCATGAACGCAAAAGTTATATCTGAATTTTAAAAGTAAAGAAAACCGTTTCAAGTTCGATGTCAAACGTTACATCGAAATTTACATGTAAGAAACACAAGCTGTTGAAGATAGTCGGGTAATCAAAACATAACTTATCTGATATCTTTTTTTAATTACTTCTTATTCTTCTGTTGGTCTCTATTATCAATGCAGGGCTACACGCGGAGACACTCTCAAAATGTAAACTTTTTCTAAGAGAATACTTTGTTGGTTGACTTTTGCAACGATTCCCAACATTCACAACATGGGCGAGGGAAGAGCTCGGGAATAAAAAGGTAACAGAAATCATGACAAAGAAGGAGAATAGTTCGATACAAATAAGATTTTCACTGTGAAACAAGAAATCGGTCAACAGAAGACTGCAGATGTCCTTGAAACAACAATGTTTTACATTAATCGGAAGACAAAGAGAAAGTTAATATCTAAGTTTGCAGCTATCTGACAGAAACATTTTTCGTGTAATGCCGAAACTGTGCAATTTGAATTGCTATACCCAGTGGAACCTCGATTTAACGAAATGCCGAGGGAGTGGCAAAAATGGTTCGTTATATTGAGGGTTCGTAATATCGAAAACTTCGATACAACGAATTTGCGTAAAAACAAGCAAATTGTTCGTTATATCGACGGCTGGATGACAATTTTTTTCTATTTTTTTAAATCATTATAATTTCTTTGTGGTGTGCTGTTACGCTACTCAGCATTTTTGTAATAGTCTTCAGACGCTATTGTGTAAAGATAAGGTTTTCGTGCACAACTGAACTCCCGTAGAAGGCACAACAAAAATGGGGGAAAAATAGCTCTGTAGAGGCAACTCGGCAGTGAGAACGGAAACTCGTCACGATTTCCTAGCACACAACGATCTACTTCAAGCGAGCTTTTACGGACTTCAAGGATAAGACAGCGTTTTGGTTCCACAGTAGACTTTATTACTAGGTCGGACCAACAACTGATATGCCTTTAGCATAATCAACTTCGTAATCAATGTAATCGGCACGCAGTCGTCTATGTAATCGAAAAAGCTTTACAATGTATTTGCTTAAGTATGAACTGATGTGAGAATTGTCAAATTAAGGAAGAGGAGTCAATAAACTCTAGGCCATTAAAAATAGGAAACTGAGGTGAGAATTCACAGCTCTGATATTGAAAATATACCTCTCTTAATTAAAGTAGAACAGCTTAGGAAATAAAAGTGGAAAAGCAGTTAAAAATTTCTGCTTATCTATGCAATTTCCGCTTATCTATGCAATTTCCGCTTATCTATGCAAAGTTGGTTTTGGAAATTATCGTACGAAAGGAAACTGAAATTACGAGCAAAAACTCAGCTGCCAACTACCATGAGAACTAATTTTTTCAGAAAGACCATTAAAAGTTATATTTACCTAAAAATTTCACAGACAGTGGTCAACAAAAGTACCGACATGTAGCTGTAAAATGAAAGCAAGCAACGAAACAAGAATATCTTAGTTTACTACTCAAAAACCCCTCTGGCTTTTTATATATTTTTTGATTTACTTAGACTGAAAGAACTTGAATGAACTCGAATAAAATAAGAATGGTTGAATATGAAAAGTTTACGAATAAATATATTCCAAACAACCATATAGAAAAATCAATATATTTTCCTGGAACAATCGAGGTGGTAAGTTCTTATCTTAAATTATTTTAGTACTTCAAATGCGTGATAAGGGTAAATTTTGAAGGCTCGTTGATTTAAAATTTAAGGGTTTGATAACATCATGTTCAGGCTTCATGGCTTCGTTCTGATTGGTTAATTTGGTTGGGGTAGATGTTAGCCAAACTCAGAATGCTTATGTACTTTAAACAGTAGAATGTGACTCCGCTCTAAAAAAATGGGAAAAACAAATTTAAAGAGTCGATGTTATTTCAAAATTTATCCTCAGGTCAAGTAAATGGAAAAGTCAATGATCCGGCTAAGTAAACTGACTTTATTGTGATTTGATAAACAGGTTCTCACAGTCCATCAACTTTCTGTGGTTGTTTGATTGCACTACGATCAAAGAACTGTTTAATTATCCTGCATCATTGCTGAAAATGAAACACCATTTTGAGTTAGCTCGCACGTTATCGTTTTTCCTCTGGGGAAGTTATCTTTTCCACTGTACCACTGCTCCAGAAGGTAAATAACCTAATGCAAGTGTCTACGAAGTTTCCGTGCTAAATTTGCTTTAATTATCAATCTTGGTCACTCGATAAATTCTCGAGGTTTTGAGAGGATAGACAACCTTTCCCTTCAATATCTCAAGTATTTGTATCTGAAGATGTTAATTAAGCACCTGTTCTTCCAGGGCCTGGATTTTTCTGAACGTAAGATATTTATTTTGTCGTTAGAAGACGTATTTGTGCTTATTTTTTTTACTACTGAAAAAACTTTTAGAATGCGAATATACGTACCCTCTTGGCATGGAAAACGGTGCAATATCTGACAGTCAAATTAGCGCCTCTTCACAATGGGACAGCAGTCTTAGCCCCAAAAATGGCAGACTAAATCATGAACAAGGCCCCCAAAAAGGAGGAGCCTGGGCAGCGAGGAGAAATAATGATGAACAGTGGCTGCAGATTGATCTGAGAGATCAACAGACCAAAGTTACTCGCGTAGGAACGCAGGGAAGGAGTAGAAATCGTCAGAGGGTTAGAAAGTACAAACTGCAGTATGGTAATGATGAAGGAAGCTTGCAATATTTCAAGGAAGAAGGACAAAGTGCTGATAAAGTAGGAGTGCAAATTTCATGCGAATGTTCTCGTATACCTCCATACATTTGTTCGTGCGTGCATCTTTTCGTCAGAATAATTAAAATAATTTTAAAACGTGTTTAAAAAGAAAGAGTATCAAGTGTACCACATGTACATAAGGTTTTGATATCCTTAGCAAGATCAGTTGGAAACATAAATGAACCGAACGTACTTGACAGCTTAACTAGGGGAAAAGCTCTCAGAAAAGAGAGTTAATTCCTCTTGTTAACCCCTTAACACCCAGAAGTGATCAACACTTAACTTCTCTCCTTAATATCTATACATTATCCATCAAGCAGTTCAAGAGAATACTCAGACGAACTTATCAGATATGATTTGTTATCATGATATGACACCAAATTGTCATAACTGTTATTTACATGGAAATGTATTGCAGCTATTAGGGAGAATCACCAATCAGATCTTGGGAGTTAGGGTGTTGATCAAAACTGACAGGTCTAAGCTGCCAATTCTTGAATTTTATCCATTATCATTATTAATTCTTAATTTATCCTATTAAGGAGTTTAATGGAAACACGGACAAAG